GACCTGAAGGAAACCTGGACAAGTTGCTTCACTCATTCCTCCTGGCACTATAACCAGAAGGGCCCTTCTGGGTTCTGACAGATTTCTCGGTTGGGGAATAAGGGGCAAAGACGTCACCCCGTTTTAGTGGCTCATAACCTTCATGGCGAGGCATCTTCCAATCCTGTTTTCGCCATTTTGCTCTTACGAGAACGAAAATGAGTCTTAGCACAGGAGAGGCGTTCTAGGAACACCCACTGAGGTGCTTTCTGCTATTGGGGGTGGTGGTCCCCGGGGAACATTTCACGGAGTTCTCCCGCTCTTCCGCCTTCCCACGTAGGGCACAGCCACAGGCTAGCTCCCGGCCGGACCCTCTGTCTCAGGTCTTTCGTCTCCTTCCCCATGCACCCTATCCCTGCACCCCATATTCATCTGTCAACATGTCAACTCACCATACATGGCTTTCCTGATCAAAAGAGCTCTTTGTGGGACTGTGTCTCAACTCTGCACCGAGCGCTCCAAGCCCTATACCCGCCCGCCCATCCCTGGCCTGTCTCCGGCTACTGCCCCGGGGTGAATTTTACACGCTGTCCACGTGCTTCTTCCCACCCCCCGCCCCCCAGTCACCCTCCTCACTCTGGTCCCTACATCTTCATTCACGCTATGTCGTCTACCCAGACTCCCCTCTCTCATCCTCCACTCCACAAATTCAAATTACAGCTATCCTTCGAAGGCCATCTCAAATCTCACCTCCTTCGGGAAACTTCCTCTGCTGACTCAGGCCCACGATGACATCATCCCATACCTTTTCCGAATTCCCATTTACTTCACGGCGCACAACTGCACACCTGATCATACCTCTCCTCATCGTGTTCTTTAAACGTTCTTCTGTGTAAGTCTCTTAATCTCCCCAACCAGACGAAAAATTCTCTGTGGCGAGGGACTCCGTATTTTCTAAAATCTCTCCTCACCCTACCCCGTCCTAGCGTAGTGTTGGCCACACAGTGAGCAGCTGACCTCTGGTTCACTCCCCAGCGTTCTAAAACCTAAACTGCAGAGCCTCAAGACATGGTTCCCGAATCTTAACGGAGGCCTGACTAGCATTCGGCATGGTAGGACGGCTCGGTGGCTAGTCCGCTCCAGCGTGGAACTGCTCTACGACCGGCTGGCTGACTCCTTACCACACAGTACATCCAAGAACCCCGGCTCTTTCCTTAGCGTAGCTGTAGGAGTGATTTTCCCCTCTCTGGGACTCGAAGAAACGTCAGGCAAGCAGACGGAAGACTACTGGTCACCAGGGTCCCTCCCGGCTCTGGCATCTTGTGGCCAGCTAAGCGTTCTTCACTTCTCCAAAAGTTCTGACTAGTCCCATCACCTCCTGGCATGGGTTTTCCCCCACCAGATGCGCCCTCGCAGCCCAGCATGTCTTCATAGCCCCCCCAGATGCCTTGGGTACCTTTGAGTGGAGGCCAGCCCATGTCCGTAGGTTGGGGCCTGCTGGTGCACATAGCCACTGGGCCGCTGTTGCAGGTGGCGAGTAGGATCTACAAGAGTAGGATTGGTAGAAGGGTGGGTGCTCTGATAAGGCTGGCTGGAGTAGCTGGGGGGCACCATGGTACCTGCAGGGCCTGTGTGTTGCTGCAATCCCACATGAGAAACATAAGGAGTATAGCCCTGGAGAGGAGGAGGACAGAGGGGGTCAGGGACAAGGCTGTGCAGGGCAGCTGGCCTCAAGCTGTCCCCCCCCCCCAATTCTCACCCTCTCGTGCCCTCACCTGGGAGGTCTGCAAACCGTAGGAAGAGCTGGGAGTCATCTGATGGACAGATGACTGTCCCAACATCCCCTGACTCTGCTAGAGGGAAAAAGGAGACAAACTGAAACTCGGGAAACCGCTTTCCGCCATCTCGGTTCTCGTATCTCCCGCTCTGCAAGTCCTTGCGAGTGTCTCCTCAGTCCCGTGACCCTCCAAAGCCCCTCTCCCTGACGGCCCTCCCTACTGCCCCTCTCACTATCTTTGCCTGGAGCTGTTGGCGAAGGCGCTGTCCTTGGGGCACCGCGGGCTGCTGCTGTCGGTACACGGAGGTCTTGTAGGAGGAAGGTTCTAGTCCCATGACTCCAGTCATGGTCGTGGGCAGCACTCCAGGGTAAGGTGGTCGGGTGGGCAGCTTCTGCATCGGTAACCGCACGGGGCGGTACGGGTCCACGCGAGGGCCCCCTGGAAAGGGGAGCGGGCTGACCTCTCCTTGTCCCCCTCCCACCCCCCATCCCCGCTCAGCATCCCCCTCATCCACAGATCCTCAGAGATGGGGCATTGGCCCTCGGGCGGGAGGGACGTTCAGGTAACTCTCCTTCCTGGGGGCAGGCTCTCACCTGCAGGTAGTGGCTGGTTCTGGGTGTACAGGCCTATGGAGCCCTGCCTGTAGCTAAGATGGGATATGGAACCGGGGTTAGCGTGGTGCAGGAGGTCTGGAGGCACTGTCACGCCATAGGGGCCGCTCCTGCCCGGGCCCATTCCATAGTCCTGTGTGAAGAGCAGAGGAGGAAGGTGAGCGGACTGTAGCTTGGTGCGGTGGGGTGGGGTGAGGTGAACTACAAGGGGTGCAGAGGAGCTAGACCTATGTGGCTCATTCTTGTAATCCTAACGGTACCTCTTCCCCACCTCCTCCCCCGGAAACCAGAAACCGCACAGAATCACGGGGGCGGGGGGGGGAAGAGAGAGGGGCTGTGGAAGAAGCATAACCGGGCTGGGGGCAACACTAACCTCTGTCTTGGTGGCTGGCTGGCTGCGTTTCTTGCCCTTGGTGGACTTCTTCTTGCGCTCCTCAGTACTGGGTGGAGCGGCCCCAGGTTTGTCAGTTTTGGGGGGCTCTGGAGCCTTTTTCTCGGGCTCTAGCAGGGTGGGAGCAGGGGGCTCCTCATCTTCTGGGGGCAGCGGGAGCGGCTCCAGGTAATAGGCCCGGGGCCGGGGCCGCAGGTGTGTGTGATAGAGCAGCAATCGCTGTTGTTCCTCTCCTCGGGCCACTCGCCGGTCGACCCGGACTGTTCCAAACCAGCCCCAAGAGAGTGGTGCGGATGGCTTCAAGCCCTCGAAAAGATCCCAGGGAGAGATCTTTTGTTTGGTGGAAACCTGCAGACCCTGCTCCAGAAAACGAGACACAGTGAGCCGCTAAGATTGGGAAAACAGAAGACAGACCTTGAGGACTTGTAGGAGAGGGGGAAGGAGCTGTTGGCAATAAAAGAAAAAGAAAAGAAAAAACAAAACCCAGGCCCGGGTAGGTTCCGGGGAGACGGTGAGAGGGAGACAGACGGGCGCGAACACACATGCATGCCGATACACAAACACACTCACAGAGCAGACAGGATTCAGAGGGCAGAGGGTGACGGGCAGGGGGAGCAGAGACAGACACAGACGCTGACATTCAGACGAAGACACAGACAGAAACGGGAAGGTGGGGAAGAGACTGAAGACCGGCAAAGACAGAGAGAGAGAGAGAGAGACAGAAACAGGGAGAGAGAGAGACAGACACGGGGAAAGAGAGAAAAACAGGAAGAGAGAGACAAAGAGGCCAGCGGAGAGACACAGAGAAAAGCCAAGTGAGAGTCAGGCAGAGAGAGAGAGAGATTCAGACAAACAGACAGATAGGCCAAGAAAAGAAGTGAAGACAATGTATGTACGACTGGGTTGGACTCTAGATTTTAGACTCGGCCTCGTCTTTTCCCTCCCCTCCCTCCGCTCTCCACAGTGATTCGGGTTACTCAACAAATACCGCAGCTGACAGAGACAAGGCGCAGAGAAAGCTGCGTAGAGATGGGTGCGCTGGGGCAGAGGAATGCAGGGATAACAGAGATCCAGCAGTCGGCCAGACAGATGGGTGGGGTACTGGCCAGGGTGGAGGAGGACAGGGTGCTGAGAACCGGGTAGTCTGTTCCAAGGTGGGTGTGGATGGTGGACGGGGGGGGGAGAGGTGGGGAGAGGTGGAGGAACAGACCAAGGAAAGAGGATGAGATTCCCAAGATGGGGAGCCGAAAAAAAAAAAAAAGTTCAGCCATCAGCTCCACACCCCCGAGACGGCTCTCACCAGCAGAGCCCCATGGGTTCCCCGGCCTGCTGAGCCTGTCTTAGCCACAAGGTTCATGCAGAGAAAGCTCCTGCCCAAAGGGGGGAAAAGCTGGGTGGGTGGGGGGGGGGACTGGTGCCGCGATAGGAACGGGGGATGGGAAGGAAAGGGGACGTGCCTCCTTCTTGAAGATGGAATCGAAGCCTGCAATCTTGTTGCCCTTGGTGTCAATGAGGGAGCCCTGTGGCTCACATGTGATGACATCTCGGGTCGGCTTGGGCAGTGGCAGCAGCTGGAGAACTTTTTCCAGACTGTCTGACTGACGCTCCCCCAGCTCCTTCTGCGGGCACAGGAAGATGGGGCAAGGGTTCAAGGACACAGCAAAGGAGAGATGGGAAGTCTCAGGGACAGCAGAGAACCGGGCATGAAGACGACACTCGGTAAACCCTAGCTGTACAAATAACAAAAAAAAAGCGGACGTGGACGGGAAGGGGAGGCAGCTCTGGCCGGAACGAAGTCCCTGAGGCCAGAGAGCTTGAGCAAGGTCAGGGGAGAGGGAGCCGAGGGGTCAGTCCCCCCACCGCCCCCCTCCGAGCCGCGCCCTTGCCTCCTCTGCTCACCCGCAGCTTCTTCACCAGGTTCATGTAGGCACGCTTATTCTCCTCCATGCTGCCCTGAGAGATGCTAGACATGTCCGCGGCCAGGGTCCCATTGATGAGCACGCTCAGCATGTCCAGCACGGTGGTGAAGAGCTCGCTGTGATGAGAAGCCCGGGAGAAAACCAGAGAGGAAAGAGGCTAGGACAGACACCGGCCTCAGGGTGGGACCCGAGCAGGGAGAGCCACGCCAACCATAGGGGGTCATGCACCCAGTGTGGGGGAGGGAGTTCCTCTTGGGTACAATCAGAAAAGAGGGGGTGGGGATGCTTTACTTGTTGGACTGCATGTCAACGGTGCCGCTGATGATGATCTCCAGGAGGAGCATGGCCCACTCAGTGGTCTGCTGGGTGCTGCGCTGCACCGTGTCAAACATGCCCCCCACCTGCCAGGGCCACAACGAGCCCGTCAGATGGCTCAGGGGCCAAGTCTAGCATTTCGGGAAAGCTTACAGTAGAACCCGGCCTGGCTGCCGCTTCGCACAACTCAGGCCACGCGCCAGTCGGACCCATGATCTACTATGTGATTCCAGGCCAATGACTTAATTCTTGGCGCCTCTGGGCCTCGGTTTCCTGAATTAGGAACTGATGGGAGCTGGACTAAGGGATGTCCAGGATTCCACTCAATGTTCCATGGCGGGTTTCTAGGGCTCCGAGGGCCCAGCCAGAATCTAGGATACTGAGGCAGTCTCTGCAAGGATCCAGGCCCTCAACCACTTTTAGGTCCCATGTCTTGTGGAGGAGAGCCGGGTCCATACTTGAAGACCCAGTGGAAATTGGGCCCTCCGTCTCAGCCCCCCACCCGCCCCGGCCCACGGGGTGCGGGTGTGGGGGCGGGCACGGGCTTCTCTGTGGCACAGTTCTAGTCCCACCCGTGTCTTTCTTCTCCCCGGGTCCCCCTCTCACCAGGTTGAGCCGCAGCTTGAGAGCCTCGTGCATGAGCTGCTTTGGTTTGCAGTCATCTAAGTACTGGTTGTCACGCCAGTTATTTACAATCTGAGATAGAAACAAGCATAACACACAGCTCGGGGCATCTTCTCATTTCCATCCCCAAACACCCAAGGTGTTGACCGGAAAGTACTGAAGGTTCTGGGGGACGCAGTGGCCTCGGGGGCACCCGTCTCTGCCCTCCGGCCCCGCTCGGTGGCCCAGAGGCCTGTACCTGGTGCACCTGGCTGTAGAGGGAGGTGAGAAGGCCCTCACGCTGCTCATCCTGCCCTTTCAGACACGTCAGCACCAGGGATAAGAATGGCTGCTGGCTCAACAGGGACATGCTAGAGAAGGGAGAAAGAGGAAAAGAACAAGAACAGGACCATGGGATGCAAGTCAGGCAGCTTCCAACCTCATTATTCCAAGCCCCAGACTCTGCTCGCTCAAGATCTAGCCTCTTGGGGCACCTGGGTGGCTCAGTCAAACGTCTGCCTTGGGCTCAGGTCGTGATCCCGGGGTCCTGGGATCGAGCCCCGTGTCGGGCTCCCTGCTCAGCGGGGAGTCTGCTTCTCTCCCTCTACCCCTCCCCCTGCCCGTGGGCATGCTCACTCTCTCAAATAAATAAATAAAATTAACAAGAAAAAAACAGATCTAGCCTGTTGCTCAACTGTGCCCACTCTTAACCTCCGATTTTCCACTTTCCTGTGATTTTTTTATCCCCACCCCCCTGTCCCAACTTTTCTTCTTTCCCGGCCCTGCCACCTCTCCCTTCTACCCCTCAATCCTGGTTCCCCCACAGCCGCTTTACCTCTTCTGCTTTTGTCGGTCCCGTTCTTTGCGGGAAGAGGAACCCAGGTGCTGGCCCTTCTCCAGTTCCTCCCCAGCCGCCTTTAACACATGCCCCTGGACTGAGGTGGGCAGTTTAGCAATGAGGGGGGCCACCAGCCACACACCAGAGCGCTCTAGAGAGCTGGAGGACAGATGGAGTACACAGGGTTCCAGAGGAGCCAGGCAAGGGTAGAACAATCCCTCCGCTCCTTGCCTGATGGACAGGCCTAGTATCTCTGCGAGGCTGAAATCATTTACACTAGCAGAAAGGCAACTCATAAGGGGAGGGGTCCAAACACGTTTCTACCCAACCTGAGCACTGGCTTGGTCTTGCTGCTGCTGGGCATGTTGCTGGCAGCGCTTCCAGAAGATGACCCCGTCTCCGCTGACTGTTGGAAAACCTCGATTGTGGCCTTGGCGATGTTCTCTAAGAGGGAGTTCATCTCCTGGGGGGGCGGGGTATGAAAGGCACATGGGGTGCTAACTAGGTAACTGGGGGTGAAGGAAAACAGATGGTAGGAGATGAGGGTGGAGAAAGGCATCTGGAGGATAATGAGAGGGGAGAGACACAACTCTGCTGGACGCCGTGTCCTCCAGCACCTCCCTATTTCTCCAATTCCCCACGGTCTTCTCCTCGCACACCTCCTTACTGTTGTGAACACAGAAACAGCCTCCGCCGCCGCCGCCAACCTTCCCTCAAGCCGCAGAGCCTCAACACTCCCGGCCCACCTCCCTATTCCTCAGCCCCACACGTCTGCCATCTTCCCATCCTCTCTTATCTCTCTCAGCTCAAGAACCCGAGGGGAGGACGCAGGTTCTTCTATGGTGGCCCGCCCTCCTGAGGCACGGAGCTGGAAGGGAGTACGGGAAAGAGGGCCGGGGCACCACTCACATTGTTAGGGGTCTGCTTGATCATGAGCTGCAGCTCCAAAGAAGACTGGCGCATAGTCCACTGGTCCAAGTTCTGTGATAGAGATGCCGCCCCCAAGCTCGTCATCATCATGTCCCCTGCCCCCAGCCACTTACCACCCCAAGGCCAGTTCCTGATCTCTCACAACCTTGAAACACCTATGCGTACAGGTCTGAAAGGAACCTTCGTGTCTCTCACTTAAGGCAAGACTCCACCGACATGACCCCAAATAGTTGAAAAATCTACCCTATTTTAAAAGTGGTTCGGGAAAACTTCACCTTTCCCGTCTCCTGTTCCAGAGCCTCACATTCCTTCGCAGGGGGACATTCTCCTTAAAGCTTACCCTAAATCCTTGATGTTAAAGTCAAAGCCTGCTTCTCCGGTTTGAAACCAGCTGCTCAAAGTCCTTCACGGACCTGAAGGCTACTCTGTGAGTTAATCTCTCTGTGACATTACCTCCTCCGGGCTGAAGAGACCTCATTCCTGTAGCTCTTCCTAATGGCTTTCTTTCTCCACCCTCCCTCCAGTTACCTGAATGTCTGAAGCAGCGTGGCGAAGCAGGGAGTGGGGGGAGGGCACGGGCCTGCCTGGGTTCACACGCTGACTCTAAACTTACTAGCTGTATGACCTTGGGCAAATTACTTAAGCTCTTCAAGGCTTGGAGTCCTTGTTGGTCAAACACAGACACCCCTACCTACTTTACAAGGCTGGACAGATTAAATGAGGAGACGTACACAGAGTGCTGAACGCAACACTCAGCACGAAGCAGACGCTCAATAACTGGGAGCTATTCGGTAGTCCCGCTGTTCGTTACTGAGCCAGGAGCAAACGCCAAACAAGCAAGGCCCCAACCTAGGCTCCCCAGAGGTTGTGCCTCCCACTGATAAGCTACAGTCCCACTCCCGATAGCCGTGCCCTCAACCAACAGTTGACTCTAGGGTCTAGACCATGTTGGCTTGACTTCTAAACCTACGTTGGAGCTGTTTCTCTCACCACCTTTCGCCCACATCCTCGTCCGTCTTCCTACTTGACCACCCCCCTCTTTTTCTCTCAGGGTCCCCACTGTTTCACCCCAGGCCTGGGCCCCCCCGCCCTGCTTCCTCCAAGACCCCCATCACCGTGGCCTACCTGGAGAATGCGCTTAATGCGCTGCCGCTGGGGGTTTTCCCCATCCTCGTTGTCCAGCAATCGATATGGGTAGCATATGAGCTGCATGAGGCGCTGGGCCTGGGCGCTACTCAACACTGGGTCTTGCAGGTCGTTGCTGTCCTCACACAGTGATTTAAGGCAACGCTCTCCTACCCATTCCTGAAGAAGCTGATAATCAGGGCACTGGGGCAACCAGTGAGGGGGTAAGGAATAAGGGGGATGGGCTGGGGGTTGACGAGGGACATGATATATAGGAGGAACGGGGCGTGATCGTGGCTGGAAACAGGACTATATTATATAAAGGCATTCAGGAGGTTTGGGGGGAAGGTGAGACTGACCTGTTGGCAGATGCTGCGTAGCACGTACTTGGCGTAGACATCCAGACTGGCTGTCTCCACAGAGATGTTGCGGCCACCCTGCCTCCGACCGCCACTGCCACCTCCTCCCTCCTCCTCTGGAAGTTCTTCTGTTCCTCCTGTCACAGTGAAGCCCGAACCCTTCAGTTCCGCATCCCCTGTGGTTCACGGGCGGGAGATAGGGAGGGCAGAGTGAGATCTGAACACAGTGTAGAGACCCAGCCCGGACCCACAGAGGCAGCAACTCCCTAAATCCTGCCATACGGGACAGAAATATACTTCCCTCCCTCCTCTCCTCCCCAAAGGTCAGAGAGACCACCTTCGGGAGGGAGAAAGACTGTCCCTTGTAGTTTAGCTGGCACTCCACCCCACACACACTTCTGGCACCACTCCCTTCCTACCCCCATACCAAGTACAAACACAGCCTTGAGAACAGCAAACACAGCTCCATCCACTATGCGGTTCTGGGAGGCAGCCAGCAGGTGGCGGTCACAGGAGGAACGGATTCCTACTGTAGGCTTGTCTGGGGAGGGAGCTGAAGTCAGGGGAAGCAAAAGTAGAAACAGCGGGTGCGGGGGGGGGGGGGGGGGCGTTAGCCACACTTTCTACTGCTGGCTGGCTCAGATCGGGGTCACTTACTTCCATCCGACTGGCAAGGATTGAGCTGAGGTGTCTTGAAAAGGTGGAGGAGGATGCGGCAGGTAAGCCGGGCCCCCGGCTCAGAGTCCTGTTCACTGCAAGCTGGAAAAAAAAAAAAAAGGAAAAGAAAGCAAATTGGACAGGGCGAAGGGAGACCGTATGTGGGTTTGTGGGTGGTGAAGGGCTGCAAGGGACAGCGAGGTCAGGGAAAAGGAGAAATGACAAGATAACGCTGGAGGAGAGGTGGGGCAGCCAACTGTCTTGCAGGGCGAGGGGAGTCCTTCGGAGGGTCAAAACACAGAAAGACCGGAAAGATTGCGGCGGCCAACACTGGGTTAGAAAGAGGCCGCTCCCAGCCCGAGGCACGCCACTGGACTGGCCTCTGGCGGTACCGTGGAGCCCCGCACTTAACAGTGAGAGTGTGGCCATCGGGTGTCTAGTCAAACTTGGGGTCCAGAAATTCTAGGGGTTACGGATTGGCAGTTCACCAGCATTAAGGAGCGAAGGGATGGCAGCACAGCGAATCAGGTCCTCGAGGAGCAGACACTGCCGAGCGATGAGGATGGCAACAAAAGTAGCCAGGGAGTCGTGAAAAGACAGGTCACTGACCTGGAGGAAAAAGCAGACAAGACATCCCGCCTCAGTGTGCAGAGAGGCTGCCAACGCAAAGCGGTAGGCCCTCGCTCTGCAGGCCTCTGTCCTTCTGCTACCTCGACCACCGGGACCAGCCCCCGCCCCACGGCCCAGCGGGACCCTGGCCCAAGTCTCACATCTACATTGCAGAGAAGGTCATTGAAGCCACAAGTGCCATTGTTAGAGGAGCAGCACAAGGCCTTCAGGACCCCCAGCCACTCGGCGCTCAGTGACTTGCAGTAGCCCGTCAGCTCCGCACACAGGATGGCGATGTCATTCACCCTGGGGAGAAGTACAAGCGCCCTCAGGAAAAACCTTGTTCCACAAAACCTCAGACTCATTAACTTTTCATCTCCACCCCAAAAATAACCAAGGTTGCCGTACCTCCCGGGCATCTCATCCCTCCCAAACTCAGGCAGGAGCGTGGTGCCCGTTCCCCACTCAGTACGCCCCATACCTATCGGGATCATGGTGCCCCACACAGACGTGCATAAGGGCATTGCAGACAAAGCTGTAGCGGTTAGCGGGGTTCTCACTAAGACTCTTGCCTAGCCCCGTGTAGGTGAAGGTGTGAGCTGCGGGGTTCTCCAGAGTGTCAATCATGAACTCGGGTGCCCAGCGCATGTTGGATTCTGAGGGCTCCACGTTGCAGTAGATGGTGTTTTTCACCTTGGAGCAGAAGTCGCTGCAGGGGTGGGAGAAGGGACATGGTAGTGTTGGAGAGGATCTGGCGAGGCAGAGGGGTGGTTGGGAAGGGGGAGAGGAGAAAAAGAGGGAGGCCCCGGGGACCTTGGGACAAGCAAAAGGGAGATGGGACCAAGCAGAATGGGCGGGACAGGGACCCAGTGAGAACAAGGCGTGGGGGCCTCTGGAGGCCAGGAGGAGGAGGAGTGTGGGCCCCCGTAGAGATGGGCTGGAGGCCAAGCTGATAAGGAAGAGAAGGAAGCAGGCCTACTCTCTGGAACCAAGAACATGTGAAGGACAGAGCTCCCAGAAGGCCAGAGACAGCAGGGTCCTGGGCTGTGCTCTGCTCCTGAGTTGAGTGGTAATGGGAAGGAGATGGGCCAAGGTCCCACTCTCTACCCTCACCTCCCATCTCTTACCTGAAGAGCTCCCCAAATTTGCTCTTTAAATGGCTACAGGAGGTGTACAGATCATAGAGATAAGCAAGGATACAGCGTTCCGCAGAGGAGCCATCTGACCGGTTCATCCCATGCTTCACTACGCCACACAGCCTGTCACAAGGGGGCAAGGTCGAGACATGGCGGCGGTCAGTGGGTGCTGTGCACGGGCCAAGGCACAAAGGTCCCCAGACACAGGCTCATGACTCTTGGCAGTAGTCTCCCCTTCCCACCCAAATGGCAGGCCCTTTCCCATGGTGAGGGCCCCCCATGTCCTTCGGGGGCCCACTTCCCCCGGCATTCACCAGAGTCCCGCGCCGTCCGCTTATTCCACAGCCCCTGCTTACCCCTCAAAGACCTGGGCCATCTGGTCCTGGTTGAGGATGAGGCAGGCATGGTAGTGCCGCAGGACGGCCACGATGCACAGGCACAGGCTGGTAGTGTAGCTGCCCACCAGATCCGAGGACTTGAGGAGCAGCTCGGCCTCGACTACGCTCAGTTCATTCAGGAGCTAGCAGAGCCAGCGTGTGTGGGGGTGGGGTGGAGGAGAAATGAGAAGAGGCCCGCGTGTTCTATATGACCCCCCTTCCCACCAGGCAACTGCCCAGGCAGGCCTGAGCCCCTTCCCACTGGAGCCGCCTCAGTCTAGAAGGGCCCTGTTGCCACACGCCACTGTCCTTTATTAACACCACAAGCCACATCGACGATCTAACCCATCTCTAGGATACAATTCTATGAACTGCACAGCAGGAGCACAGTCCGTACCCAACGCTCTCATCTATCTCTTGGGCCTCCCTGTGGAGCACGTGAGTCTCTAGTCTGGCCTTCTTAGCTCGTGTTCCACTTGACCCTCTGGCCCCCACTGGGCTAGCCTTCCTGCCCATCCCAAGTAGCCTGGGACACGGGCTTGAGCCCCAACTCTCGACCTTGTGACCCTATATAGCACAAACGCCTTCCTCCACCCTCATTTCCCCAACTTCCCCACCTGAATGGCAAAGTCGATGAGGCCACTGATGCTCAGGGAATATTCCATGAGGTCAAAGATGAACTGCACATGCTGCACCAGAGGCAAGTGGTATGACATGCCAAGGGCAAAGCTCGTGATCTGCTCCAGAACATTCCGGGAGACCTGATAAGGGCAGTGGGAGTGAGACGGGAGTGGAGAGAGGCAGGAAGAACCAGAGAAGCAAGAAAAGGAGGATGGCGGACGGGGATGAGACCCAGGAGGCTTAGCCTGCCTGGGAGCGGGGGGAGAAAAAAAAGATAAGGAGGAAAGGAAAACAGGGCAGGATGGCAGAATGTTGGGGCGGGGGCAGGACTTAGGCCCACACCTGAGCCGTGACCTGGTGCTGGTCATAATGTGAAAGGTGCTGGAACTTAGCAAAGATATCTTCAGCAGTGGGGAAGGCTTCAGGCCGGTTGCGTCGCCGCTTCTGCCCGTCCTCCCCACCTAAGGGGACAGTGGAAAGGGAGCAGTCAGGATGGGGAAGAGAACTAGTTGACTGGGGGTCGGGAGGGGGGTATGGAGAGAAGGCTATGGGTGGGGGGGAGGGAAGGGAGGGACCGGGGAAGGAAGGCAGGGAGGAAGGGTGGGAGGGAGAAAGGGAGAAGGGAAGGGAGGGTCGAGGAGGGGGTGGGGGAGGGAGATTGGGAACGCCCGGCAATCGGCCACCACGAGAGGGGAATGAGAATGTGTGTGTGAGAGAGAGAAAGAGATAGAGAGAGCGAGGAAGAGAGAGGGAGGGAGAGGGAAGGAAAAGGAGGGAGAGCGAGGGCGAGAGAGATAGAAGGAAAGGGAGAGAGAGCTAGAGAGAGAGAAGGAGAAAGGGAGGGAGGGAAGAAGGAGGAAGGAGGGCGGGCCAAGCGACTAAAGGGGTGGGGGCTCAGAGGAAATGGGGAGCAAAGTACGGGGTGGGGGGTTAGATCCCAGACATTGCCCAGAATGCACCCGGGGTGGGGGGTGAGGAGAGGAAAGGGAAAGGAAGGGGTAGGAGTAGGGAGGTGGGGCAGGAGGGAGTGGGTGTGTGTGTGTGTGTGTGTGTGTGTGTGTGTGTGTGTATGGGGGGGGATAGTCCGCAGCTGAGTTCACACAATCCCCCCATTCACTGTCTCCATGGCAACTCTGGGGCACAGACCGCTCATTCACACGGCTTCCCCGCCAGCAACCCCCCCACACCATTAACCCCCTCGGTGCCGCCCCTCCCCACGAATTCCATTAACCCCTTCGGGATGCCTCCCTCTCCAGTAACCCTTCGGTGCCAAATGCCGGTCCCCTTTGAGTCAGTTCCCTGCAGCCCCTCCCCCCGGAACACCTAGACAAATCGGCCGACCCCCAAACGCCCTCTGTACCCTAGGGCCCACTGTGAGTCCCCAAGGCCGAGATCTCCATCCTGGTCCAACTTGCAATTTGGGAGAAGACAAGGGGAGGTGGCAATGCCGGGGATTAGAGTGGCATCTGGGGTACTTTGGGGGCTGGAGCAGTATTTGGGCGAGGGGCATTGTGCAGGAACGGACTGGTATCGAGAACTGCAGTATTGGGGGCTACGCGGGTCCGGAATGGTATTGGGGGACAGATCTGCATTGGAATGGGGGAGGATAAGATAAAGGCCTGGGGGGGAGGGGGGCTGCAGAGAGTGGGGGAGGGAGCCTGGCTGTGAGATGCTATGATGGAAGAGGGACGGGGCTGCACTGCGGGGGAGGGGGGACTGGCAATGTGCAATACAGGAATAGGGCCGGGGCCCCTTAGCAGGGGTATTTTGATGAGCATGCGGCCAGGCTGTGGAAATAGAGGGACCATGGGTGGGAGGATGATAGGGATGCGGGATTCAGGGAGGGGGTGGAGGAGAGAAGCGAAGCAGGGGAGGATTGGAGGGTCAGGGGTACCGATGGAGAACATGGGGTTGGGAAGGATGGGGAGCATCGGCTGGGGAGCAGAGGAGCCCGGGATTGGGAGGGGATAGGATCGGGGCAAGGTATGGGCAGCTAGAGGATGAGAGACCGGGGCAGGCGGCCTCACCTGTTCCCCGGGCTGTTGCGAGCGACTGAACCGGGCCACGGACCACCCATATCGCCTCCAGGCCAAGGGCTCCGCACCTGAATCCCCGAGATCTGCTCTCCGGCAGCCTGGCTGCTGTGCCCGCGCACCGAGGGGGCGCGCTGCGCGTGCCCGGACACGGGGGGGCGCGGTCCCTGCCATTAACTCCTTTTGTGCCAGAGATGGCTCAAGTCCTGGGGCATGGCCCAATTCCTCCCATGCTCAAGCTCGCTCGCTCGGCTCACCCTCTCTCCCTCTCACACACACACCCCTCAAATCAAGACAGGCGATCTTCCAGGGCAGCTAGCTCAAACTTTACCTGCAAAGCTTGAAACCTTGAAACAAAGGGAGAAACTGAGGCACCGTCTGCAAGAGCCCCCGGTCATACTCTACAAAAGACAAGCCTCCAGCTTGCTCAGCATCCCTCGCCTCTCCCCTCCTCAGCACCAGCGCGACTCAAGCAGCAAGCCGCGGAGGGTGGGGGCACTTGGCTCTCATCCTGTCGCTCGCCCAAAGGTCAACGTTGTTCCTTTCCACCGCTGCTGCTGCTGCTGGGGCATGTCAGACTGAGACTGTCAGCATGCCAGTTGCCCCCACGGTTGCAGGCTGTCCCCTTCAGATCCCGCTGTCTTTGTGTCTCATGTTGCCCTCTGTAGTGCACCTGTCCCATTTGTTTAGCCCCTACCCCCCACCCCCAGTCCCTCCGAGTGTCCCTTATCCCAGCCGAGCCCCCTAACCCTGCGGTTCCTCAGAATGTTTATGTCAGGATAAAGCAGGTCAGAAGTGAGCTTCGGTCACAGTCACGGCTGCCCGGGCCATGTCCGGAGTTTCATTCCTTGTGCACACGGCTCTGAAACTTGCTGAGTCGCACATGAGCGAGGGCGCCGTGGACCTCGAAGCGGGATTCTGTTTTATTTATTTTTTATTTTGTAGAACTTGGGTATTGATGATCGGTGCTCCTGGCTTTACCAGCACACTTGCCACTTGCCAGTGACCCAGTGCAACTATGGCTTGGATGCTCCCCTGAAGTTGTCGAATCATCTGGTTCCACCCACCCACAAAACTGAGGCTGGTCCTCTTCCAGCCCCAGCTGGGCATACCAGAAGACTCCCTTGTAGTAAACCAGTTGGCTCTCCTGAGTAGCCTTAGATCTAGGGCCCCGAACCTGAAGGCAAAGGGGCCGCAAATGACCCTGCCACAGTTCCAGATGTGACTCTGGAGCAACAGTTTGGAGTTTTCTCTACTGTAAAATGGGAGGGAACAACAGTCATCCTGGGTCACTGCCAAGGTGGGTCATGTGAAAACCAACAGTTCCAGCAACAGAGCGGAGAGAGAGAAAAAAAGGGGTCCTTTCTTTTACGGGGTCTCTCTTCCTCCTAGAACCATACCCGTCCTTCCACCACCACCAGTTTGATGGGGACACTTGTCACTGGGGGGGGCCAGTTTTCATCCCAGAAATGTGACTCTCAGGGAAAATTTTCAAAGATGCCGCTTGGTGCATGACGGGGCACACGTGAGGTGGCAAAAAAAGGGAGGCAGTGTCTGACACACCCTCCACCCCGAAGCCTGTTCAAAGCCCCAGCGTGTGGGATGGGCAGGCAGAAGAATCAGGTGCCCCGGACTTCTCCCCCTCCGGCTTCACAGCCCCTCCCCCGTCCCAGCGGTCTAGACATCCCTGGTCGAGAGAAGCTATGAAGAACCCGCAACATGTAGCGGAGAGGGTAAGCTGCCCTTCTTAAGAAACTAATGGCCCAAGCCTGTATAAAACGTTGCCAGGTTGGAGAGGAGAGGAAAGAGTAGCAATCCAGCTGTAATTTAGAAACTGAGGAGAAGGAAGGTAAACAGGGGAGTTGATCGGAAAGGGGACGAAGGCTCTGCCTGCTTGGTCCAGCCCCCAGCACTCTGCCCAGAGCCCGCCCTTGCCGGCCATGCAGAACTCACACACTCCCTTTGCAAAGAAGCTCTGTGTATTGGGTGCAACAGCTCTGGGGTCTCTATATAAATAATATACAAAACCCAACAGCTCAATGCCTCACATTAACAAAAATACTAAAAACTTATTAAAAACGGAGCCTGAGGGAAGAGCCCCAACCACTACTGGTGCTAGCCCGGGAAGGGGACCGGGGATCAAGAGGAAAGGGTGGGGCCACATCCAGTGCACAAGCGGTTCTTCCAGGTTCTTCCAGGTGGCTCAGTAGCGTCCAAATATGTTGGTGCTGGGCTGTGGCTGAGTATCTGTGGAAAACCAGAGATGATCAGGGCCGGCAGACCGAGCAGGGAAGTGGGTTTGCACGAGGAAGGCTATTCAGGTCACCGAGGGAAGGGACGAGATGCCAGGCTTGCCCCCTGAAGCAATCGCCTGAGCTCCCCCCGACCCCCCGCCACACCCACCACCATGCACCCCCTGGGTGGGGGGGCTCTCCCCGGGCAGGAAGGCAGGCTTACTGGAGAGCTGCTGTTGGAGCTGCCGGACCAAAGCTGCCGTCTGTTGCTGCTGCTGCGTCTGCTGAAGCCCCTGGCGCTGGAACTGAGGCGGAAACCGGAAGTGCAACACTGACCCCGAACCTTCCGCTTCCTTCCGCATCCTCGCCTCCTGACCCCCTTTCCGGAGTGCCGTACCGTGCCTCCCACCTCTGCCCAACCCGCTTCACTTGCTGTGTGCCCGACCTGGGCAGCCGTCCCTGAGCCAGGGGCTGTGGCCCGGCAGCTACCTGGGGCTGGGACTGGGGCTGGGCTTGGGGGGGAGCCGCCTGCTGCTGCTGCTGCTGCTGGTGCGCCTGCTGCTGCTGCTGCTGCTGCTGCTGCTGCTGCTGCTGCGGACAAGGGTGCCGGGCCTCAGCCGCGGCCCTGACGGAGGGGCCCCGTCCGCCCCCCTCCCCCCCACGCAGGACTCCCCGGGGCGCTCCCACCAGCCACCCAGAGAGCAGGAACTTCTGCGGCCACTGCTGCGCGCCACGGGGTGCCCCCTGGGGCCGGCACCCACCCCTTCGGGGACGCCGGGGTCCCGCGAGAGGGCCTGGGGCCTTACCCGCAGGATCTGCTGCTGCTGCTGCTGCCGGATGTGGTACTGCTGCTGCTGCTGCTGCTGCTGCTGCTGCTGCTGCTGTTGCTGCTGCTGCTGCTGCTGCTGCTGCTGCTGCTCGGGCAGGATGGATGCTGACCGCACACCGCCCGCCTGGACGCCCTGTGCGCCCAGCGGGGTCATGGCACCTATCATGGGTGCCTGCTGCAGGGTCTGCTGCGAAAACCTGCAAAGGCCAGCCGTGCGAAGGTCAAGGCACAGCCCCGGCGTGGGGGTGGGAGGGTGGAGAGGTG